GAACCATATAAGCCATTCTCTCCACCATGTATATTTAACACTGGTAGTCTTCTGATCACACTCTCAGAAGTGAATAAATTAGAAGGTGCCTATCCTGTAGGGATTAGCCTAATTGTCACTTTCTCTAGAAGGACTGCCCTTTTTTACACACCAAGATAGATATTTCCCACCATGGGCTCCCATAGTATCCTATGTATCCCTGTTATAAGAGTCATCACCTCTTATTATCATTGCTTGCTTCATTAACTATTTTTCCACTAGACCAGAAGGTCTGGACCACATGAAAGTCTTGCTCGCCATTTTATCCTCAGGGCCCTGGAAAATACTAACAATGCTATAAACAGTTGACAAGTAAAGGAAAGAAAGGAAGGAAGAAGGAAGGAATTTTTCAGATATTAGGGAAGCAAATTGTTCAGTTTATTTAGTATTCAAAATGCAATCATATGGACAGTACTTTTGGAAATACTTCCCTTATGGCTGGGATTTCACCAACTCCTTCCTGTGTTTATTGAATTGCTGAAAATAATATCAAAAAGTGTTATTTCCTCTTCTGGTTCCTCCAGGAGTTGAAGACACAAATCATAGAGTCCAAGTGACTTAAGCCAAAGTGGTTCTTCTTGGTTCTTATGTCATTGTTTTGGAGTCAGCCCAGGTATCCACACTATACCATCTGCACTGTATCCGAAACATCTCTTACTTTCCCATCTGACTCTTGCTTACATTGTTAGATTCTCAACTCTTTCCCCTGACTCATCTCCCAAAGTACAGATGATTATCCTTATTCTAATAGATGGGAGAGAATGTGTAGATCATCCAAAGGAATGGCTTGTCCAAACATTGTCATTTTTGGATTTCAAATACATAATGTAGATTTTCATATAATCAAAATTTGCCCACTGCTCAGAAAATTGAGAGTTTTTTTGTAAGTGGCAGTCCAAATTTGAAAACCACAGCTGTTTTTAGCAATTGAGTCACTGCCTTTCAGATGCCAAAAATATCACCTACCATACTCCCCAGGGTTCAAAGAAAGAGGAAAGAAGAAAAAAGCAAAGAACAAGCTGAGGATAAAGGTAGCAGGAAGCTTCTCCAGTCATATGAATTATTATTAAAAATAACTATAATAGTGCTTGCTTCAGCAGCACATATACTAAAATTGGAACGATACAGAGAAGATTAGCATGCCCCTGTGCAAGGATGACATGCAAATTTGTGAAGTGTTTCATATTTTTACTGTAATAAAAATAAAAACAAAATAAAATAAGGACATAAAAAACTATAATAACTGAAGCAACAATAATAATAGCAATAAGATTAGCATTCAATAGCAATCAACAAAAAAGGGCCACATGTGACTTTTCTAATCTCCATAAAAGGGAAAGATGAGAGTATTTTTAGCACCCTCATTTTACAGATGAAGAAACAAAGTTAGAAAAGTTAAGTGAATAACCCAACCCACAGTTACACAGCTAAGCTTGAACTCCAACCCAAGCCATCAGACTTCAAATCCTATATTCTATCTCTTATTCAAACAGTCTCATCACTGATTTATCACCACTTCTTCATGAATTGATTTTGGTAGGAAATCTGCCCTTTTCTCATCACTGTAGGCCTAAGGGGGATCATTAGAATTTCTGTGATCTTCTCAAAATAGAGTAGAAACAAAAATTCTACTTTTGGATTTTAGATGAGGGTTGTAGTTATATATGCATTAAAATCTTACTTGAACTCTGTATAAACTGGTTTTGGAAGCTTGCAGAAAGAAGTCTGGCCAGTCTGTGCCAGTGTGCATCTTGGACTCTAATTCTCCCAACAACCCCACCTTCCACCCACAGGGGACTTCAGGAACAGCCAAAGCAACTTTTTAACTGGCAAACTTGGTGGCCCTTCTCTGGTCTCGCAGTCCCCATCTCCCCAGAGCAGACCAGTACCTAGTACATCCTGGGTTGTGGTGAGAGAGACTCTTATCTTGGAGGCCCTCGCCACTGGGTCCAGGCTGTACAGCCAATGGAACGTCTACCCCATAAATCAAATCTTGGGGAATCTGTGATCCAGCAACACCTCCAGCAGATACCCATTTAAGGCAATATCTGGCAAGAGCTTTGTAAAAGAAAAGTTGGAAAAAGAAACTAGACAGGGAAATGATAGAAGGGCTACTAAATGATACAGGGCAGATGAAACTGTGGCAGACAGTATTTTCCAAAGATGACTGGAAAAATAATTCTAGTTTTAAATGTTCTTCCAGAATCTTGATACTTTCACATCAAGAAGAGTTTATTTCCTCTCTCCTCAAATCTTGGTTGGTCTTGATGACTGTCTCAATGAATAGACTATGGTTGAAGTGAAGACCTGTGACTTCTGAGGGTAGGTTAGAAAAGGTAGTACAGCTTCCACCTGGCTCTCTCTTGGGCATCTGACTTTTGAATCTTGGAAGGAAACCCAGGCTACATAGACAGTTTGCATGTAGGTATTCCAGTTATCAGCCCAACAAAGATACTAGCTGACATCTGGCATCAACTGCAAGACGTGTGAGTGAATAAGCCTTGTGATTCCAGTCACCAGCCTTTGAGTCACCCTAGCCTTCAAGTCTTCCAGTTGAAGTTTCAAACATCATGAACCAAAGACAAGACATCCTTACAGTGCCCTGTGGGGATTCCTGACCCATAGAATCCACAGACACAGTCTGTACACACAGACACAGTAAATGGTTGTTTTATGCTACTAGGTTTTGGGGTAATTTGCTGCACAGCAAGTCATAACCAGAGCCCAAGGTTAGGCCTGAAAGGATCTCTGGCATGTTCTATCTGCAATAGCCACAGGCGAGATCAGGTTCTACTGCTAATTCTAGGCAACGCCTGCCGGGTGTCTTCTTCATACAGGTCATTTCTCTTAGAGGCTCCATTGTTTCTCCCTGCAGCTGCACCTGGCCCTTCCATCCAAGTCCACTAGACATGCTGTGAGAGGTGTGAATCTCAGTTGTACATAGGGTATGAGCCCTTTTCTTTAAGTTCCTTTGGCCCTGCCTAGACACATCAGAAGATAAGCTTAGCCACTTATTTCAGTCCTTGAACCTTCCGTGGTGGTTAAGAAGTATGCAGTGGTGGACAGTAATGGGTAGTGGGGAGAAAGGGAAGAACCTAAACCCCAACACCTTTGTCTTAGTTCTGACCTAAGGTTAACTGTTCTACTAAATAATTACAAGAGCACAGTTAGAACCTTCCTTCTCAGTGACATGATACCACTGAATCATTTTACTTCCAATGACAGCCCTTTGAGCAGATCATTAGATTTGATACCAGAAAAGTAAAAACTTAGAGACTTGTCTATCATGTACACTGCTGTAATACAAACATTTAGAATCATGCCTAGAACATGTACACACTCAATAAATATCTACTTGATGGAAGAATAAATGAATGAATTAATTAATTAATGAAAGACATTCCATGAATGAATGAAAAGCATTCCTTCCTCCTTTTAGAGAATAATATATAATATTAGATTAGCATAAAGTGCTTAGTAGACTGCAGTGTTCAATACGGTGACATTTGACTGCCTTAAGTAATGTTTCTCAACCTGCTCAAAGCAGCTGTTAAACTTTAAAACTCTGAGTTCCTTGAAGGCAGAGACCATGCCTTATTTCATTTTGTATCCCCAGCACCTGGCACTTTGCCTGGTAATGGCTAAGTGCCCAGTAAATATTAAATATTTAAATATTAAAACCTAAATAAATGTCAAACAGAGACTGGCAGAGACATTTCAAATTACTGAGTTTGCTTAGGCTTTGCCTGCTAGGAGGCAGCAACAGAGAAGGATGCTGGCCAGTGCACCTGATCCCCAGAGGGATAGACTGGGGTACAGGAGTCCAGAAGGCCTGAGGCTTCCCAGCTGCTAAAACCCTTTGAGAACAAGAGGACTCAAAAAGCTTTTGTAATCTGAACAGGACACTGATTTGAATACCAAAAAAAAAGGGTACAGACTACCACTGTACCAATCAAAAGTGCTTTTCTATGATTAATCCAAATAATGATTTTCTTTCACAGCTAATTTTATACATGAGCCATTCATTCATTTGTCCATTCATTCCATATTAATAGGGGTTGACCCACTGCTATTTTTCTGCAAAGATTTGTTTAATCCTCTCAAGACGTAGTTGAATGTTCAAAAGGTCCTCATTACCTCATTACCTGATCTGACTACGCAACAAAAGATGTGACATCATTTTGTAGAGGCAGATGGAAATTACAGACAGAAGGTCTTTACAATTCAGAATTAACTAATCCAGTGTATTTCAAGATGTTATCTGCATTGCGTAGAATGACTTGACAGATGACTATTAAAAAAGAGATATCTAAGATCCACTCCAGACATACTAAATCAGAACATCAGGAGTGAAACTTAAACTTTCTGGGCAATCTCTGGTGATTCTGACTGCACTAAGTTTGAGAACTGTTGACCAAAGGTGCCTTGTCATTAGGACCTACATGCCATTACTTAATATAATATAGCTTCTCCCACATTTCTAAAAAAGTAAGGTGTTACTTGGCTATTCTAAGACATCTAGAAATAATGTAAATATGGCTGAGATACTTAACACTATTTAGAACCAATAAATATGGCCAATGCCCCAGACCAGAATTTCACTGAAGGAACATAATCATTCTCTCCTTAAACTAGGCCCTCATAAACCCTTGCAAAAAGAAAATAACAAAGCAAATCTAGTCTTCCTTAAGAAACTCACAATTTAGAAACAAGCATTACAAAATTGCTGTTATTAAAATAGAGAGGCTTTTAAACCTTGAAATGGCCCTTGAAATGGCACATTCAAACTGTTCTCAATTTGAAAAACAATAAACAACAATCATCAGCTGTGAAAGGGAGCTGTGGACTATACTGTTTTTCTACCCTGGTTCCCACTGTGCTAATGTCCATCTGGGACCCCAGGACCTTTTCCTTGCCTTACCCTCAAACTCACTCTTTCTTCCCAGGAGACTTTTACTCACTTTCTGAATTTTCCTAATCTGGTCAGAGAGTGTGTCTAACAGGCGAGTTTTCAGGAAGTCCATCACCTTGACCACCCGGCCATCAATGTAGCAACTGGAATAAAAATAAAATAAGAATCAGGTAAAATCTTGAGCAGGAGACTACACATACATTTTTCTAGCCAGAGTCTCTGTTACCTGAGGAAATAGCCCAAAGTTTACTTGGGCTCTCACATCCTGAAAAGTTTTGACCCTGGGTGCTTTTCAAACAAGTAATCTCCTTTTTATCTTCTTCATTTCTACCTCTATTTGTGGCCCATAGTCTTTTTTTCCCAATCTTTGTCACATGAACCTGCACTGCTTGCTTTGTAGGAGTGGACAGGAATCCATGATACAAATTAAGTAATGGGGGAAAGCTTACTTTTTGTTCCCCCTAGGAAGAGTAATTTAACACCCATCCCATACCACCCCTACCCCCACCTTAAAGTAGTAAAGGTAAGTGACAGGTTTAGGAAGAATATTCAAACATTTTTATAGATTCTCACATCTTTAAATAAGAAAACAAATACCGACCACAAAAATCTGATATAGTGTAGTGAGTGATTCTCAAAGCTTTCATTTCCAGCTCATTTTGTAATCAATCTTCTCCTACCAGCTCCAGAATAAATGAATGGATGAATGAATGAAGAAATAAATAAATCAGACAGATTAAGTCTTCCAGCCCTCTCCTAAAATAGTAAGAAGTTTAGCATTCACTGTGGGTTTTATTGGTTATGTTAGTTGTGCTGATAGTATGTTGTGAACATTTGACCAAAACGGGTTGATCCAGCTTTGTCAGGTCCCACTTTGTGAATCCTTACTCTGAAGGCTAAGCTGAGACTGGCCCAGCAATAGGTAACCTTTATTATCTTAAACCTCCCCATCCCCATTTTTACAAAATTTCAGATTGAATCAACTGAATTAAAATAAATGCCTGTGACTCCTGGGTGCCTTTTCCAACCCAGTCAGGTCTCCCCATCTGATGGCTAATGATAGATCATTTCATTTTTAATAAGATATCAACCTATCAGTACATATTATAGAAATATGAAAATTCTTTTTAATTTTAAATTCCCATACCAATACATGATGTATTAGAATGTTTAAAAACTTTTTTAAATTGTAAAACAGGTGCTCTAATTGACGCAAGGGTGAGATGTGAGTTCAGCCTTCCCCTTGGCCTCCTTCACCACCTCAGACATTTTCATGAAATCCAATATTTAAACCATTGGTATGTTGAAAAGAATATGGGTTTTGGACCCAGAAATATCTGAGTTCAAATTCCAAATCAGTTATTTACTACCTATATGACCTTGGGCAAGATACTGGCCTCTATGGGCCTCAGTTTTCTTATTCTTAAAAGAGGTAACATATTGGGACAGCTGGGTGGTTCAGTTGGTTAAGCATCCAACTTCGGCTCAGGTCATGATCTCATGGTTCGTGGGTGGAAGCCCCACGTTGGGCTCTGTACTGAGAGCTCACAGCTAGAGCTTGCTTACTTCAGATTCTGTTTCTCCCTCTCTATCTGCCCCTACCCAACTCATGCTCTGTCTCTTTTGCTCTCAAAAATAAATAAACATTAAAAAAAGAGGTAACATATCTACTTCTCAGGATTAATCAATGATTAAGCAGTTAAACCTAAAGTGTATGGCATATACTAGACATTCAGCAACTCTTAGTTCTTTTATAATTTCATTTTCAGCTGCAAAGATGGGGTCATAAACAATAGGGGGCTGATGACTAAATTATATATGAATACAGAATCCTAAAACTAAAATTACTATGTCAAAGTGCATGATTTTGAAAAGTTGGTGGTGACTTATATTAGTGAATAAAACAAAACAATAACATAACCTTTCACTTCATTCCTGGTATAGATACTAGACTCAGATCCAATAATCATTTATGATGTACAACATACAGTGCTGGGTATGTCCATGTTCATTACCTATAACCCTAACCTCTTCCTATCAGTACTTCACTATTAGCATTTCATATTTTTTAAAGAAAATTGTGATTAGATAGCTCGCTACATAGAAGTTACGTATATTAAAACATAGTAATTTTTTTAAAAAATGTTTATTTATTTTGAGAGACAGCATGAGCAGGGGAGGGGCAAAGAGGAGAGAGAGAATTTGAAGCATTTTCTGCACTGTCAGCACAGTTCCTTACATGGGGTTTTACCTCCTGACCCATGAGATTGTGACCTGAGCAGAAATCAAGATTCAGATGCTTAACCGACTAAGCTACACAGGTGCCCCCAAAAACAGTAATATTAAAATTAAAAATAATTCATGCAATGTTAATCTAATGCACACCAAAGGACATGAATACTTGTTACTATATTATATGATTACTAGGCACATGATACAAATGCAACTGTAATTAGTGTTCTTTTATGTTTTAATCAAATATAGTATAGTCCCTTCTTTTCTCTCTGTTAATTTTCAGTAACTATTTTAAAGATCAGAATTTATAAGTTTTGCTGGTAACACATATAGTTTAATACTTACTGAAATAAAAATACCACATGCACTTTTTCAATGTGTAGGATTCTCATGAATGCCCTCCCTACCCAACCTAGTCATTAGTTGAGAGGCCTCCCATTCCTCCACTCTTTCCTTCTGTCTCTTTTCTCAAGTACTCAGAACTTGGAACCTAGAAAACCCTGGTTCAGTTTCAGCTTTGTCACCTACCACCTGTAAGACGTTAGGTTTCCATTTCTTTGAAGTTGGTTAAAAAGAATCCCAAACCCACAGTATTCAGGGTATTCTGTATCAATTTACTCAAGAAAAATCCTGGGCATAGATCCTGGCACATAAAAGGTATTCAGTAACCAAATTTGCCCTCCAGGTTACTGGAAGCAGCAACGTAGACTGTAAAAGCATGAGATGAGGTGTACAGGGGAATATCTGCCTGAAGGAGAGCATGATTTGGAATGAGGGAAGTAAGGAACAGCAAGAACAGACTCTGTCTGGATTCCCAGTAGGTGGGAGGCAAAGGGAGGGATGGAGAGAGCTGTGTTTCCATTGCAAAAATTTGGAGTTTGAGAAGACTTTAATGACCATGTGGTCTAAAGCATGTAAACTTGCTTAACATCCCTGAGAAGTGATTATCTAGGAAAGAGAACCCACTCTCATATATTACCACTACTGTTCCACTGTATGACAGCTTGAAAGGATCTTCTAACATAAGTCTAAAATTTGCTCCCTCTTATTGTCCACTCAATGGCTGTTTTCTTGGACCAAGAAATAGTCCAATTTCTCCTTCATGTGACATATGGGGAAGCAATTCCAATAAAAACTTTGGCTTACACTTTTGAGAGCCATTTTGGCCCCACTTTTAACTTAACAAGCTGGATTCAATCATTCTCAGTTGGTCTTAGGCTATTTCTGTGGACTATGAATTAGACTGTGGAGGGGAGAGCTCCAGGCAGGAAACCAGTGTGACAAGGTTATCTTATCTCAATAGTGCAGGCAAGAATCTGGGTCATGGAACAAAGTAAAAGTGAGAGGCTGTGAAGGAAGAACTAATAAAATAAAGGTTCTATAGAGTATAAGAGAAAGAGGAAGGGAATCAGTGATAACCAGGAGCTTGTAAGAGAGAATATTTTGGAGAACACTGATGCCAAAAACATGTAGGTTTTTGGTTTGTCAAAGGGGACGAATGATGCTGTTTGAGATATCAAAGATTCAGAGAACATCAGAGAGGAAATAAACAACAGGCCATGGAGATATGAGGAGGAGGTACAGTTAAAAGTTGAGACAGGAAAAGACCTGGGTTTTCTGACTATGAGTAATGGAGAAAGCCATGGCTACAGTTCTCCCAGAAGATAAAAAAAGTTAACAGAGGTGTCAGAGACCCTCTAAAATCCTTCTCATATATGGCCCTGGGCACTGCCTCTATCTACATTTGGCTCAGCTAGGAGTCCTTTCTTTTTCCACTTTGACCACCACATTATCTTTTTAATAACTTCAGTCTGAGTTAAATTTACATTTGGATGTCAAAGGAATCCCCATATCATACTGAAGTTTCAGTAACTTTCATGTGCAGCCTTAAATCCACATATATATTGTACTATTTCCATAGTACTTTGAACTATGGTCCCCCATAATTTAGTATCGCTTTTAAGGGAGGGGCCAATTTAACCATAGATGTGAATCTGACAAAACCTAAGCTTTTTTCTTGGGTACCCTTGGGTAATTAGCTTGCTACATTTACCCTTCATAAATGTGATGCTTCTACTGCTAGGACTTTACCCAAGGGATACAGGAGTGCTGATGCATAGGGGCACATGTACCCCAATGTTTAGAGCAGCACTTTTTTTTTTTTTATAGCAGCACTTTCAACAACAAATCATGGAAAGAGCCTAAATGTCCATCAACTGATGAATGGATAAAGAAGATGTGGTTTATATATACAAAGGAATACTACTTGGCAAAGAGAAAGAATAAAATCTGGCCATTTGCCAGATGTGGATGGCACTGGAGGGTATTATGCTAAGTGAAATAAGTCAGTCAGAGAAAGACAGATACCATATGTTTTCACTCATATGTGGATCTGGAGAAACTTAACAGAAGACCATGGGGGAGGAGAAGGGGGAAAAAGTTACAGAGAGAGAGGGAGGAAAACCATAAGACACTCTCAAATAATGAGAACAAACTGAGGGTTTTGGGGGGCTGGAGGAAAGGGGAAAGTAGGTGATTGGCACTGAGGAGGGCACTTATTGGAATGAGCACTGGGTGTTGTATGGAAACCGATTTGACAATAAATTATATTAAAAAATAAATGTGATGCTTCTAAGAAAACATTCAGGGTCAATAATCTGGTTATTTGAAAAATTCCTGCCTGTTACAGATCTTCGGTTCTCTGATAGTGACTGCCTGTGGTAAGGGACCTGCTACATCATTTAGATTGGGACATGAAGGAGTTGGAATAGCCTGACATAACTATTTGGTAAGATTAAATCATTAAAAATGATGAAGATGGTGATCTCTAACCAAGACTGGATAAAAGGAAATGGGACTGGATTCCACCTGACTGTCCAGTGACCTGAGGGCAACTCTCTCTGCTTTC